AAAAAAAAAATTTAGAGGAAGGAACTATGAGTGATCTGAAGAAAATATGATGCAGCAATGCGAAATCAACAAAAGATTATATGTAAGAGCAATATTACAGACTTTTAGCTTATATACCACAAAGCCATAAATATGCAATTAAAATTACAGGGAAAACGTCCAACAATCCAGCATAATCAAGACTTAATACCAGATTACTGAACTAAACGTGCATAATGCTTCAAAATAGTTTTACCTATTAGTAATTAAGTTTAAAGGCAAATAATTTTGGTTGAATTTCTTTCCTTACCACTTTCTATTTCTTTTTCTACCAGTGGATTCAATGTGCTTTGAATTATGATCTTAGCAATTAATTTTTCCATCGTAAAGGTAATAGCATTCGTAAACAACATTCTTCCATAATTGATTAATTTTCATCATTTTCAATCCATTAAATAATTTCTTTTTTTTCTTCTTCTTCTTCTTCTGAAAGTTTGATTAATGTCAAAGGAAGACTCAACCTTCTTCAATAGAATTTTGCTTTATAGCATTTGGCAAAAATAAATTTTTACCAGCCTTTTTTGTAATGTTGGATTGTTTACATTTTACAAGTGTAATGTATGCATGAGAACTGCATGTTCTGCATGAACTGAATTTGGAAGCCCTTGATGTTGCAATCAAGAGTTAATAAATTTTGTACAAATTAATTCCATATTTGCATCTAAAGCTTACAACAATTACCTGATCCATAGGTTGGATTAATATTATCTAAGCTTGTAATGAATCGTCACGTCTCTCTTTTGTTTCCTTATCAACGCTTCTATCAAGTTTTAAAAACATTCCAAGTAAATAAATAAAGCATATGATATACAAATGTTAAAAATTTAAAGAAAAAAAAAACTGAAAAATGGCAAAAAGATGTAAAACAATAAAACAATAACTAAACCTTTTAGATATTATCAAATGATATCCTGGTACAGTATGTTATTTCAGGAATGTTAGTGAAAGGTATGCTGAACTACTGGATTAACTCCTTCACACATCCAATCTGCCGGACATTGAAACAACCAGAACCGCCCGAAAGCGGCCGAGATTGTAATCTTCTTTTCTTCCCTCCCCCTAAGGTATGCACTAGCAGGTGCACTTTCTCCAAATGCACTGTATCAGTTTACTGCAGACAGCTTGTCCTAAGAGGTTTTTTTAATCTTTTGTTTGATCGTGACATTTCATTGTTGATTCTTTTGTGGTACAGTGTGCTTTTAAGCTTTAAACAGCAATAAAAGAGCAGTTTAAAAATTTAAGGATTATATTTATTTTTAAACAATTTATTCCTTCCTATAAAAATAACAGAAATAAACAAAATCTCAGTAGTGATCATAACAAAGCAGGAAAGGCTTATCGAGCTGACCTTTAGAATAGTTTTATAAAGAACGGTGTCAAAGGCTAATGGAATCTTTGTTAGAAAGTACAAAGGATGCATTGGAAATCTTCACACCTCTTTTCTGCGTTAATGGATGGGGAGGGGAGGAAATTGCTGGGAAACTGGAAAAGTATTTCGGGCGGTTCTGGTATTTTGAGGATACCGCTTAGCGAAGGGTCTGGATTTCAAAGACTTAAAGGCATTTGGACCTTTACTATACTTGAACTTCCCATCACGTTGAAATCATATTTGTTGTTTCTCAAATCTGTTCTGTAGAAGATGTTCTGCTACTGTGCATGGCTGAGGTTTTGAACACCATTTATTATTTTTACTATGAAACATAATAAAACGTCAAAACTTATTAATAATTCTGCTATTAATGTTACAAAAAGTTGGTGAAACCTTGTATATGTATGCCAGTGAAGCATGTAAATAAATATATGTAAAGATCAAGATTACTTGTTAGTTAATAGATAAAGATCCTTAGTATAATTTACCCCATAAGATAATACAACTCTTAAATTACGATCTAATAAATATTAGGTTCCAATAATCTTACCTATATAAGTTGTTAGTTTAATTAAATTTGCATGCAAAGAAAGGAGTAAAACAAAACCCAAACTAATCAACTGCACTTAAAAAAACACAGCCAAATATTTAAGTCATCGCATTACCAAAATAACTACTTCTAATATATAATGCAACTGCAAAAACTTGCTCCAAAATTAATAATACTTATTGCTATAGATGTTTAAAAACGAGACAGATAATAGCTATTTTGTTACAAATGAAAAATTATAACTCGATGATTACTATTATTATCACTTAAATAACTATAAATATTTTTACTTACTGAGTACAGGAAACAGAACAATTGAAATGTTTACATTGATGTGGATCTGATAAGAATATTTTGTTTTGCTGATAAAATGCAAAGCTTATTCATTTAAAATAAACTTAAAAGTTTTTGAACGCTATTATAATATTGTTCACAAGGAAGCACTTCCGCAGAGAACCCGGTAAATGTAAACATCCTACGGATCATCGTATTCGCTTGTTTGAAGGTTGCAACCATTCGTCTTGCGTTCATTTTGTTGAATTATCACTGTCGTTGTTCGCATTTGGAGATTTATATTCTTCTTCTCTTATTTATTATTATTTTTTTCTGATTTTCCACGTTATTTTTCTGAATTTTTTAACAACGAATGGATAGAAATTTTCGTTATAATTAAAGAAGTTTTCGTCGATAGATGCCCGTTCACGGCTCCAATTTTATGGCGTAAAATTTTAACAAGATACTGTATTGTTAATGCTTTTCTAACAAAACCTTTCCGAGGATGGCAGGTGTGACTAAATAGCTGATTAAATTGAAATAAAATATATTGATTATCTAAGATGACAGAGTAGTTTGATGATCCCATGATCATCAAAATTGCAAAACACAGTTGGTGTAAGGAATACGTTCAAATTAGTCTTGAAAAAATAAAATGTATAAGTTTTAGTTTGTCAACAATACTACTGAAAAAAAAATTAGATTACTGTTGAAGGTTATTTGTATTGTGAAATATATTATGAAAAATACAGCTTTATTTTCGTATATCACGTTTAACCGGTTAGTTTTACATCTACATGCTTATTATCTGTGAATTTTTACTACCATATGCTTAATTTTTTGTTTTGTCTGCTAACTTGAATTTACATCCACTAAAAATCGCGTTTACGGCTCGGCTCATCCCTTGGCGAGTAAAAATTGCAACGGCGCGAACGGGTTCTTTCCCGAAGCGCCAACGGGTTCTCTGCGGATGAAAACCCGCTCACAATTATGTAATTGAGATAGGATCAAATGGGATATTATGATTATTTACAGAAGTATATGTTTATTAGTTACAAAATTGCACAGATTCTCTACAATTTCAATTTTCATATCACTTTTTCAGTTATCAGTAGAACTGATTGTTTGATTTTTAAAGATCTAAGCAACGATTTTAATTCTTAAACACTTTATATCATATTTTGTCAGTGTAATTTGATATATACAGGCCAAACTAAAAGAGAGTTAAAATTCTACATCAAAGAAAACAAATTACATATTGAAAACAGGTGAAATAAAGAAATCTTTGGCAGCTGGTCACTCAATTTTCACTTCTGTTCCGCAAAAATTATTCACTAAGATTCAGTTGGCGAACTGGATTTGACTAAACTTTCATACCCATAAAAATTTACCTTCTTTAGTTAATGGCAATAATACCAATTCAGTTCTTGCCAAACTTTGAAAATTCTAACATCTTAACTTTTTTTACATCATTATTATTGTTATTAGTGACTAATAAAGTGATTCATTTTCTCTATTGATTTCATTATAAATATGATTCTTGCTCCTTCCAGCTTTATGTCTGATCACCTTAGAAATCGATAAAAATGTTATTCAAAATCTACATCCCCCCCGTCTACTTCTGAATTCTATATTGCTGTCCAAATACATGTAATTATTTTCTAATGACATGCTTTTATTTATTATTAACGAAAAACATAAATGTTTAAGAATATATCTGATTGTTTTTAAAGGTAAAGCTTCGGATACCGGCTCGTGGCGACCTCCTAATGGTGATTTCACCCGGTTACCGAGACAAACGGGTAGAATCCGGAGTATCTTGAATTTAGGGAAAACTGTGTCATATTGAAACCATTTTTCTTCGCTTCTCTGTGGTTCTGAGAAGTTGTTCCACTTCCAGTAAATATATAAATGCGAATTAAACGATAATTATAAAAAAATATTAAATGCGAATTAAACCGATCTTAATTAATAGTTGGTGTGGTGTATTTAATTATGGCAAAGCACACTAGGGCTATCTGCCTAAGAGAGGGATGCCTTTCGTGGAGGACTTTCTAAGGGAAACTGGCTCGTATACACGTTACACATGGGAAAACCACGAAAACACCCATGCAGCCAGCCCGTTCGCGGGATTCGAACCTCGGACCGAACTACCAGTGTTCAGGACTTTACGCTCGATTGCCTATAAATAAAAAATGTTAAATGCGAATTAAAACGATAATTATAAATAAATAATATGTAATTAATTATATTTTTATAGTTTTTTTTTTACCTTTTGATTTATTTCTTAAATATACGGATAATTAATATAATAGAAGATTAATTTTATTTTTATGTTTTTCCCTTTTGCTTTTCATTTTTTACATATATTGTTCGTAATGGAGTTTCAATAAAAAAAATTATAAATTATTATGATATATTCACAAATTTCAGTACAAAAGTCAACTATGATGATATCTCATTTTATCATCACTCATTTGGGGAGGAACTTGAATTTATTATAAACTTTAGCCTATTTGTAAAACTAAACATAGTTTGTACATATTCATGTTATACGCACTTTCCATTCCAGAAAGTTATATATTTATTCAAATACTGTTAATATTATCTTAAATAAGTAATAGTGTCTTAAAGTTTTAATTGCATGAAGAAATAAGCACAGAAAAATGGATTTTCTATAATACACACCAAACTCATTAGGAAGACTGAAAAAAAAAAAAATACAGTTGGTACACGACTTTCTTGAAAATTATACTTACGGAACTCATACATAGTATATATATATATATATATTTAAAAAAAAATCATAGTAATAACTCTTCCAAAAATTCTTCAAATGCATCTTCTTTTGACTGATCAATTTCTTCCGTAACTGGTTGCTTCCATACATCACTTTCTTTGACTTCAGTTTCATCAGTATTTTGTTTCACTACATTTTCAGTTACTATTGAAGAATCAATGCTATCCATTGTTTCTTCTTTTCTGGTCTCTTCTGGTTTTGCATGACGTTTCTTTTTTAATACTGCTTTACCTTTGTATCCATAATTTAGTTTATATGAACACTTTTCACACAAACGAAGCGTGACTAGAGCACTTTTACTCTCACCGTGTTCAACATATCCAAAACGAATTTCCCAACTGTTCAAATTATCGTTTTCATTACAGTGAATACTACCACAAAAGAACTGTCCTTTTCCAATAACTAGTTCATTTTCTGTCCTCCATCTCAAACCTATTCTTTGCTTTCTATAATAGCTGAGATCACATAAGCAGTATTCTCTGAATAACCGATCATAATACTTTTTGTGCCAACTTTTCTCCCCAAGTATGGGTTTCATCATCATCTTCCCATAAAAAGCGATGATTTTCTTTAATAATATCGTGATCTGTTTTATAATGACTCGTATCTCTCTTTAATTTTGAAGTTGTCCCACGGTAGCACAATACATAATCGTTTATTAATTTTTTATGCCTTGAATATGCATCTAAAGCAAGGAATGCTTTCTGCTGTATTCTGCCTTGTTCTCTACTACATTCATCATGGAACGCTTGTCTGTTTGGCTTAAAAAGTTTAGTTTCTGGAGCCTTGATAGCTAAGTCATACCTTGCTTTCCGTTTCTCGCCTACTTCAGCATCATATTCAAAGTCTGATTCATAATCTTCATTATAGGGAATCTGTTGAGAACTACTGCCTGCCTCAGCCATATTATATGTTGTTTTAAAAATCTCACCGTAAGCACTGACAAATAGTTGTCTCTCAAAAATGGCTATGTCTACCGTTTTCTCCCTCGTCTGATACTAGCGTCTACATCTCAAAACGGCAGCCTATGAGAGAGGCGATTCTATTATTTTCATCGGGGAGTAGGGAAGTTAGAATGGTTTTCTGAGGAACGCCAACGGAAGTGCACGATGTTTGCTTACCTTAGGAGGTCGCCGCTTTTTCGGATGGCCCAAACGGCCCAAACTGTCCTTTTACTATCGATAGGCAGCTTTTTGCCACCGATAATGAAATGGCCGTTGTTTATCGATTACGAAGGTTTTAATGTTTGGATTCGTGTATAAACTTTGTCAGAAGGAAAATTAATATCGCGAAACCTTGCAATTTAAAGGAATACTTTGCAGACACGAAGTAAAAACTGTTAAAAAAATTTGCTTATTATTATCGAAAATCATAACCATTCGATGATAAGAGTATGTTACGAAGTATGTTATATATCATACGAGTTATGAAAGTAAATGTAAAGATAATGTATGTATGTATGTGAAGTAAATAAAATCCTCTAGAACGCAAACACTTTATTTGGTTATCTAGTTGAAAGTTTGGCCATTTTGTTCTTAAGTATTTATGAACATAAATTTTTATTAATTTTATTGCCTAAGATCTGGTTGATGTTTCCAGATCTGGTCCAAGTTAAAAAAAGAAAAAAATGTTTATAGACGTTCATATTCATTAATTTTGTTCCATAACGTGTAATAGAACTCTGTTTGATTTTTATTTGGTTTCATTGACAGCTATTGCATGCTTTTTTTTTTTTTTTAATAGCTGATGCTTTACAAACCTTCCATACTATATTAAACATTAAAACAGGGTTTATACTATGATAGATTTGAAAAATTTTATTGTTCTTCAGAAACTCAACAATTGCCTCAATGACTACTGTATTTTCATCCTGTCTTATTGTATAAATGCAGTCTGTTGATTTGAAATATAATAATTTAACAGTCAGTGTGTAAAGAAAATCCATTCTTTAGTTTTATAACGAGCAATGTTTTTCAAAATAATCTTATAATTAAAACAGGTTTTCTGAAGTGTATTTATTTCTTTAGTGATGTATAAGTCAATGTATTTGCCAAAGTATTTTGTTAATATTGATAAAATTCAATTAAAAAAAGATACTCATGTTTTATGTAGAATTGATTGCTAAATCTATATT